ACTGTACTGTGCATTATATCACTAGGTCTTATTTACACTTGTTGTAAGTAGTAAACTTAACATCTCTTCTCTCCTCCCACTTACCGTTGCCAAATAACCACTGTTTCACTCGATTTTTTACAAGTTTGGCTTTATAAAATTCCATCAGAGTACTTGTATGACTTAGCCTACTTAGCATAATGTGCTCAAGGTTTATCCAGGTTGTCTCAAATGGCAAGATTTTATTCCTTATGAAAGTTGCTCAGTCGTGTCTGACTCTCTGCGACCCCATGGACTATACAGTCCATGGAACTCTCCAGGCCAGAATACTGGAGTGGTAGCTGTTCCCTTCTCCAGGGTATCTTCCCAATCCAGGGATCAAACCTAGGCCTCCCACATTGCAGGCAGATTCTTTACCAGCTGAGCCACCAGGGAAGCCCATTCCTTATTATGGCTGAATAATATTCCGTTGTGTCCATATAACATGTTTTCTTTGTCCATTGGTTTGTGGACACTTAGGCTGTTTCCATGTCTTGGCTATTGTAAATAATTCTGAAACGAATGGTGGGGTGTAAATATCTTTTCAAGGTAGTTTTAAAATTTTCTTCAGATAGATACCTACATGGACTTATGTATTATTTATCTTTAAAGTCTGGGTCATATGAAAAGTTCTGCTTTTGGTTTTCTGAAGAACTTCCATACTGTTTTCCACAGTGCTTTCAGCAATTTACATTCCCACTGACAGGGCATAAGGGTTCCCTTTTCTTCACATCCTGCCAAACACTTGTTATCTCATCTTCTTGATGATTGCCTTGATGATGATTAACGTGCATGAGGTGACAGCTCATTTTGTTAATTGCTCCTTTACTGTGCAAAAGCTTTTAAGTTTGATGTAGTCCCATTGGTTGATTTTTGCTTTTGTTGTTTGAGTTTTTGCTGTCATACTTAAAAAATTGCCAAAACCAATGTTGAGGAATTTCTCTCCTATGTTTCATTCTAGGATTTTTTTATAGTATCAGGTTTTGTGTTTGAGTAAATTATGTTTGATCCATTTTTAGTAAATTTTTGTGAGTTGTGTAAGATAGGGGTCCAATTTCATTGCCTTACACGTGTTTATCCAGCTTTCCCAACACCAATTGTTGAAGAAGCTATCTTTTCCACGTTGGGTGCTCTTGGGTGGCTCCCTTGTCAAATATAAGTTGACTGTATGGTCTGGGTTAATTCTGGGCTTTTTATTCTGTTCTTGGTCTGTGTGGCTATTTTTGTGCCAGAACCATGCTGTTTTTATTTCTGTAGTTTTATAGCGCAGCTTGAAGTCCGGAAGTATGTGATACCTCCACCTTTGTTCTTTTTCCTCAGGATTACTTTGACTTTTGGAGTCTTTTGTAGTTCCATACAAATTCTAGGATTTTTTTTTTCTATATCTGTGAAGAATACTATTAATGTCTTGATAGGGATTGTATTGAATTTGTAGATTTTGAGTATTATAGACATTTTAGCAATATTCTTTCAGACCATAAGCATATATATTTTTCTATTTGTTGTGTCTTTTATTTCTTTCAGCAGTCTCATAGTTTTTGTTGTACAGATCTTTTACTTCCATTGTTATATTTATTCCTAAGTAATTTACTGTTTTGATGCTATTACACATGGAATAATTTTACTTCTTTATCATATGTTTCTCCTGAGTATATAGAAGTGGAACTAATTTCTGTATGTTGATGTTGTATCCTGCAACTTTACTAACAACATAGATTATTTCTGACAGTTTTTTGGTAGAGTCATTGATATTTTCTATATACAGGATCATATCACCTAGATTTCTGTAGATAGAAAAAATAAGAAAAACTTACTAAAAGAATAAGTTTTACTTATTCTTCCCCTGTTTGGATGCCTTTTACTTCTTTGTCTTATTCCTGAATTTAGAAGTAAAACTTTCAGTCTTTCTCCATCGAGAGACCAACAGCTAACATGCATGTTAGCTGTGCATTTGTTATACATGAGCTTCATTATGTTTAGGTCTGTTTCTTCTGTACCCAATTTGCTGAAGGTTCTTATCATGAAAGAATGTTGTATTTTGTCAAATGGTTTTTCTGCGTCTATTGAGATGATCATGTGATTTTTATCTTTTATCTTAGTAATATGTTTACATTTATTGATTTCCATATGTTGAACCATCCTTACATTCAAGGCATAAATCCCCCTTGGTTGTTATGTACAATTCTTTTTAACTGTTCTTGAATTCAGTTTGCTGATACTTTGTCGAGACTTTCCGTTCCTATATACATCAGGGATATTGGTCTATAGTTCTCATTTCCTGTGGTGTCATTACCTGGCTTTGGTTTCAGGTTAATGGTGGCCTCATAGAATGCGTTTGAAAGTTCCCTTCTCAGATTTTTGTGAAGAGCTCGAGAAGGACAGATATTGGTGATTCTTCGAATGTCTGGTAGAATTCTTCAGTGTAGCCGTCTTGTCCTGGGGTTTTCTCTGTTGGGAGGTTTATGATTACTGATTTAATCTATTGGTCTGTTCATTTTCTATTTCTTCTTGATTCAGTTCTCTTTTTAAAATTTATGTTTTATATTGGAGTATAGTTGATTAAGAATATCATGTTAGTGTACAGCAAAGTGGTTCACCTCTGCATATACTTGTATCTGTTCTTTTTCAGATTCTTTTCCCATTTAGGTTATTACGTAATATTGACTAGAGTTCCCTGTGCTATAGTAGGTCCTTGTTGGTGATCTGTTTTAAATGAGTGGTGTGTTTATGTCAATCCCAAACTACCAGTTTACCCCTCCCTTTTGGTAACCCCGTTAAGTTTGTTTTCTAAGCTTGTGAATTTGTTTCTGTTTTGTAAATAGGTACATTTATTTTTATTTTTTTTAGATTCTGCATATAAGCAATATCATGTGACATTTGACTTAATTCCACTTAGTCTGATAATCTACAGGTCCATCAATATTATGCAAATGGAATTATTTCATTCATGTTAATGGCCGAGTAATATTCCATGTGTATGTATACCACAATTTCTTTATCTCTTCCTCTGTTGATGGAAATTTAGGTTGCTTCCATGTCCTGGCTATTGTAAATAGTCCTGCAGTGAACACTGAGGGGCATGTATCTTTTTGAATTATAGTTTTCTCTAGGTATATTCCCAGTAGTGGGATTGTTGGATCTTCTTTTCCAGTTTGGATTCCTTTTATTTCTTCTTCTAGGACTTCCAAAACTATGTTGAATAAAACTGGCAATAGTGGATATCCTTTTCTTGTTCCTGAGCTTAATGGGAATTCATTCCACTTTTCACCATTGATAAGTTGACATTAGCTGTAGGTTTTTCACATATGGCCTTTATTGTGTTTCCTTAGTACCCACTTTCTGGACAGTTTATCAAATGCTTGTTGAATTTTTTCAAAGGCATTTCTGCACCTATTGAGATGATCATATGGCTTTTACTCTTCAGTTTGTTAATGCAGTGTATCACACTGATCTGCAGATATTGAAAAACTGTTGCATACCTGGGATAAATCCCTCTTGATCATGGTGTGTGATCCTTTTAATGTACTGTTAGGTTCGCTTTGCTAGTACGTTGCTGAGGATTTCTATGTCTTTGCTTATCAAAAGATGAGCAGCGTATTGATCTGTGTAATTTTTTTTTTTTTGAGGTATTCTTGACTTTTTTATCAGGATTATAATGGCCTCACAGAATGGGATTATTTCTTCCTCTGCAATTTTTTTGGGATATTTTCAGAGGGATAGATATTGACTCTAATTTAAATGTTTGATGATATTTACCTGTGGAGCCATTGGCTTCTGGAATTTTTTTGTTTGGATTTTTCCAGTCAGTTTCAATTTCAGTACTTGTGATTGGTCAGCAAACCAGATTTTAGCTTCATTGCTCCTTTCTATTGTTTTCTTCATCTCTGTTTAAATCTGCTCTGATCTTTATAAATTCTTTCCTTCTACCTGCTTTGGGTTTTGGTTGGTCTTTATCTAGTTGCTTTGGTGGTGGTGGTGGTTTAGTCTCTTAAGTTGTGTCCCGCACTTGTGACCCCATGGACTGACTGTAGCCTGCTAGGCTCCTCTGTCCATGGGATTCTCCCGGCAAGAACACCGGAGTGGGTTGCAATTTCCTTCTCCAGGGGATCTTCTCCACCCAGGAATTGACCCTGGGTCTCTTGCATTCTCCTACAGAAAGAATCTGCAGGCTGATTCTTTACCGACTGAGCTATGAAGTTGCTTTAGGTGTAAGGTTAAGTTGTTTGAGATTTTTCTTGTTTTCTGAGATAAGACTGTATTGCTATAAACTTCCCTGTTAGAACTGCTTTTCCTGCATCACATAGGTTTTTGATTATTATGTTTTGTTGTCATTTGTCTAACTATTCTTTTTGATTTCTTTATAGGTTTTTAAATATTATGTTTTTGTTGTCATTTATCTCTAGGTATTTTTTCATTTTCTCTTTGATTTCTTCAGTGATCTATCAGTTGTTTAGTAGCATCATTTAGCCTCCACTTGTTTGGGGTTTTTTGACAGTCTTTTTTCTTGTGATTGATTTCTAACTCTTAGTGTTGTGGTCAGAAAAGATGCCTGATATGATTTCAACTTTCTTAAATTTACTGAAACTTATTTTGTTATCCCACATATGATCTATCCTGGAGAATGTTTCACGTGCACCGGCAAAGAATGTGTATTCTGTTGCTTTTGGACAGAATGTTCTATAAATATCAGTTAAGTCTTTTCAGGGTGAAGTGTTATTGTTATATAAGTCCTGTGTTTCCTTATTGATTTTCTGTGTGGATGGTCTGTCCATTGATGTAAGTGGGCTGTCAAAGGCTCCCGCTATTACTGTTTTACTGTGATTTCTCCGTTTATGGTTGTCAGCATTTACCTTATTTAGTGAGGTATTGACTAGTTAATATTGTGTTTTCTAATGCAGTATTAGAAATATTATAAGTGGAGAACTTTCAAGATACAACCTATTATGACTTTTACTATATAATTGTGACTTGTTATGTTGTAGGTCTCCTTTTTACATATGGTGTGACGGGAAGCGGAAAAACTCACACTATGACTGGTTCTCCAGGGGAAGGAGGGCTGCTTCCTCGCTGTTTGGACATGCTCTTTAACAGTATAGGGTCATTTCAAGCTAAACGATACGTAAGTGTGTGTGTTTTTTTTTAATTGTATTGTGACTCTCACTGAAAGACATAGGTGCCAAAATACCTGTGAATACAATATTATTAAGGGAGAACTAAGGCACTGAATACCTTTTAAAACCTTAAATATGTTTAAATGTAAACTGTCTTGTTTCTTAAATATATTTCTTACTATTTATGACAAAGTCTAAAAATTATGGTCTGGTTTTTGCCCTCACTTTAGGTTTTTAAATCTAATGATAGGAATAGTATGGATATACAATGTGAAGTTGATGCTTTATTAGAACGGCAGAAAAGAGAAGCCACACCCAATCCAAAGACCCCCTCTAGCAAGTAAGTAATTCTATTTTGTAATACTGGCCTCACAGGAACCCTGTCTGGTGGTCAGAAATGGAGAAGTTGGTCTGACAGTTGACTTTAGTGAGATAAAAGTTGAGGGCTGTTCTTAATTATGTTTGCTCAGATGTTCTATTTGGTTTTGAATGCACTGCCCTTGAATCACTGTGTAGGGAGAAGGTGCCACTCTGGGTGAAAGAAGGTGTAAAAGTCTGTGCTGTGTATCTGGGAAGACATGGGAGAACTGGTGGCCCAGCCATGAGTATGAATAAAGTTGCTCTGTGTAGTCTTGCTTGTAACAGAGGTCATTTATGACTAAAATGTTTATGATGAGATTGAGACTTTTTTCTTTTTTCAGACGACAAGTAGATCCAGAGTTTGCAGATATGATAAATGTACAAGAATTTTGCAAAGCAGAAGAGGTTGATGAAGATAGTGTCTATGGTGTATTTGTCTCTTATATTGAAATATATAATAATTACATATATGATCTACTGGAAGAGATGCCGTTTGATCCCATAAAGCCTAAGTAAGTAGTGGAGAGAGTCCCTTTTTAGCTGACTAACCTTGACGAAGTCACTTCACATCAGTGACCTTAGTTTCCTCAGCTATAAATGGGGATAAAGCTTACTTCTGTTTTCAAAATGAAATATAACTCATATATCATGCATGTGGTGTGTGGTGAATAGTTCTGTTATTTACTTGATATGTAGTTAGTTGTATTAGGAAAACCAGTGGGTTAAAGTACCTAAGGAGAATATTCGCCTTAAGACTTTACTTCTGAAAACTGCTGGCCCTCGGCTCCATTTTGAGAAGGATCTTAATAGTATAAAGAAGTGTCCCTATAGGTGTGCCTTGGGGCTGCCTTTCAAGAACCTAACACTTAATGTTGGGAATTTGCAGCCTCTAATCTGTGTCCTGGTGATCTCCACAGAATGGAGCCTAAAGCTGCTATCTGCACAACTAGTAGTCACAGACTTTCCATCATTGATTAATCAGAAGTGACATCCGGATTGTCACTGCACCGGAGTTAAAAGATTATTCCTTAGGTCTTGGGTCTTGTCCTGCTGAGACTGAAGGCCAGTTACAGTCTGGCATTACAAATTACCTTTGTGCCAGAGTGGACTGCGGAATCTCATGTCTAATAACAATATCTTGTTCATAGTCTTAAGCTAAATGCTTGTCTTCAGTGCTGTCTTTGTTAGGGCCTCTTAAGACATAAATAATATGAAGACCTGTATTATATATTTAACTTTTCGGTATATGACTCAATCAGGTATTAGTGAAGGAACAGCTAGATTTGAAAAACCATTACACTGATGTGTCAGTATTTCCACTTTATATTATAATATATATATATTAAAGAGTTTATAGATTAATTAGATTTTAACTTAATATTAAAGACTTTATAGACTAATTATTATCAGGCTTGCCTGGTGGCTCTGATGGTAAAGAATCCACCTGCAATGCAGGAGACCTGGGTTTGATCCTTGGGTTGGAAAAACCCCCTGGAGAAGGAAATAACAACCCATTCCAGTATTCTTGCCTGGGAAATCCTATGGACAGAGGAGCCTGGCAGCCTACAGTCCATGGGGTCGCAAGAGTCGGACACGACTTAGCGACTAAACCCCCACAGACTAATTACTTACTTGTTTCAAAGTGTCGGTTGTGTGTACCTGTTTTCATAAACTTTTTTAATGTCATTAATCACTTTCACATCTGCACATGCACCAAGTTTCTGTTTGATCTGTTCCAAATGAGGCTATTTTCTAAGAAGCCTATCTTGTTTTTATTATGTACATAAAGACTGACAAATGTGAGTGCATGCCTTGTAACCTTCCTGGTAACACCCTGAATGAACTCACGGGTGCTTATTTGGCAGTGAATTCATTTTGTTAGGCTGGTATTTAACCTTTTTTGGGGGGGGGGAGCTGAATTAAGGTTTAGTTTTTAATACAATGAAGGAGAATTTTTAAGATATGACTCATTGTAAGTGTCACATACTCTAGACTGAATGTGTTGTTATGAGATGGCTGCTGCAGAAACAGTAACTTCTGCCTTATTCCTTTGGTAGGTGGAACAGTTGCAGCACACCCATGAGGAACACAGATTTTGTGTATGTGATGTGTTGACTCTTTTCTTAAGGAGAAGGGTGCAGTTATATTAGTGGTTGGCATTTGTGGCGTGTTCGCATGTAGGTGATTTTTCATTGGTCCTGGGCCGGCTGCTACCTCTAAGCCCCGCCTTCCTGAGAAATCTGCCATTGGCTGAATAATGGTGGCTGGTAACTGTATCTGCCCCCGCTGTTCACACGACTGAGGCCAACCAGGCAGCATCTTTCCCTTCTTCATCCTACCTTAAGAGTAAAACTTGACCAGCCACTTTAAAAGGATTGCCACTCCTGGTATATACCAAACTCCTTCTGAATTTGTTTTTTGTTGACAGAACCAGCTCGATCTGTTGATCTTTTAAAATTAAGAAAATGCTAGATTTTGATGCTTAACCTTTGCATGTGATGGTGCTTACTACTACTTTGATCTCTGTTTAGTAAGTGTTGTTTCATGTGCTTTATAGGAACGAATTAGAGCAAAGCTTTTATAACAAAATAGATTCCTGTTATGTAACTAATCTTGACTGTATATCCTTATTCTTATCCAAGTGTAATATTCTTCTGGAGTCTTGCTTAGGCTTATTCCCTTTGTAAGAATGGATATCATGTTGCCTGACATTTTAGTCCTTAAGTCCTGGGATAGTTTAGGAAACTAATGTTTTTTTCTTTCCCCTAGACCTCCACAATCTAAACTGCTTCGTGAAGACAAGAACCATAACATGTACGTTGCAGGATGTACGGAAGTAGAAGTGAAATCTACTGAGGAGGCTTTTGAAGTTTTCTGGAGAGGTTAGAAGCAGAGTTAGAAGTACAAATATATAAAGTGATAAATATAATCCTGAAAGTTGCCACTCTACTGACAATACTTTTTATTTTGGTAGAAAGTATATACATTGAAACAAGCAATGATTTCTCTGTCACTGTAGGCCAGAAAAAGCGACGAATTGCTAACACACACTTGAATCACGAGTCCAGCCGTTCCCATAGTGTGTTCAACATTAAATTAGTTCAGGCTCCCTTGGATGCAGATGGAGACAACGTCTTACAGGTAAAGGTTTAATGTGTAGAGTTTTTCCTGTTCTGAATCCTTAACTTAGGGATTAGAGTTAAATCATGAAGGTTTCATTACACTGAATATTGTGCTAGAATTATCTTATGTGTAGGTGATGACATTAAAAAAAAAATGTTTCACTAATTAGGTAGCATAGTTTTAGGAAGTGTTAGTCACTCATGTCCGACTTTTTGAGACCTCATGGACTGTAGCCTGCCAGGCTCCTCTGTCCACGGGATTTTCTAGGCAAGAATACTGGAGTGGGTTGCTACGCCCTTCTCCAGGGGGATCTTCCCGACCCAGGGATCGAACCTGGGTCTCCTGCATTGTAGGCAGATTTTTTACCATCTTAGCCACTGGGGAACTCTTGTTCTAGGAAACCAGCTATTAAATCTTAGAACCTGGAATTTTGTTGTGAAAAAGGTTTACAAATCTTTATAAATATCTAATAAAGGAGATAAAATATGATCATTGTTTTTCTCTGAAGACTCGTTTTTGTATGTAGAAATTATTCCTGGTTTTAAAATGTTACCAACAAACTTTTCAGGAGTGGTCAGTTCTGGACTGTTCTCTCTTGGTGACAGGCCAGTGGCGCCTGCAGCTGCTGGTCACTGTTTAATGCTGGTCCTGTCATGCTGCAAGGCTTATATGAATTAGTAACAGCATCTGACCCTGAATGTAAAAATCATTTAATTAGTTTAAGGTATTAAAATGTAATCCCATTCAAAACATACCATGAATATCACGAAGGTTTTCAGATGGCAGTAGATGGTACAGCATGGTACTGAAGACCACAAGGATTTGAATTCTGGTTTCTGTGCATTTACTAGCTGTCTTACCAAGTTGTAATAAACTCCTCTACATAATAAACAATTTCTGTGTAATAAAACTCTTTCTACATTCAAAATGAGTCTTCAGAGAAAAACAATGAATCATAACATATTTTATCTATTAGATATTTATAAAGATTTGTAAACCTTTTTCACAACAAAATTCCAGTTGTAGTGCTGTGAGGATTAAAGGAGGTGATGCATGTAAAGTTCTTAGCCCATTGCTTGGCTTACAGTCAGCACTTGATAAATGTTAGCTAGAAAATGCTTCTAAGTTAAGTCTCTATACACTTGCTTTCCTCTGAATCACATCTAATGTATTAGTAATATCAGTTATGTGTCTGACTTTCTTATGAAAGTTATATAGAGTATTATGAAATTATTAGGCTATAAGATTATTAAATATCTCATTATACAAATATTTAGTCTTGCTCTAGACTATTTAGCAGACATTTATTGAGCTCCTGCTGAGTGCTGGGAACTGTGCAAGGTGCTGGAGATGAAGTGGTTAAAAGACAGTTCCTGTTCTTGTGGAGCTTACAGTATAACATAGTCTGCAAGTAATGTCATGGGGATATTTATCATATGCTTTTAGTAAACTGTCCCCCCAAAACATGTATCCTTCCCCCTTATTATGCATTTTGTATTATGCAAAGCTTATATTCCTAAGACCTAATTTCACTTGAATATATTTAAAGAACACTGTAAACCAGTTATAATTCATGAGATTGGCATTATCTTCCCTTCAGGAAAAAGAACAAATCACTATTAGCCAGTTGTCTTTGGTAGATCTTGCTGGAAGTGAAAGAACTAACCGGACAAAGGCAGAAGGGAACCGATTACGTGAAGCTGGTGAGCAAAGCATAGTATTTACTTATTGCTACAACTTTCAGAAACTTGCAGTGCCAGTTTATTGCCTGCTTATTGATGGTTTAAGCCTAACTGTCTTCAATTTGACTAAAAATTTAGAGGCTAAGTTAAGTGACTAGTGCTTTTTCTTTAGTTATGCTGGTTTCATGTTGATCTATTACAACACACTAATTTCTTTAAGAATGAGGTGGTGGTTTAGTTGCTAAGTCACGTCTGACTCTTGTTGACCTCATGGACTGTAGCCCTCCAGGCTCCTCTGTTCATGAGATTTTCCAGGCAAGAATACTGGAGTGGGTTGTCATTTCCTTCTCCAGGGGATCTTTCCAATTCAGGGATCGAACCTGCGTCTCCTACGCTGCAGGTGGTCTACATTGCAGGCAGACTCTTTACTGACTAAGCCACCACGGAAGGCTAAGAATGAGGAAAAGTGACTAAATAGAAAGTAAGTTATATTCCTGTTGAAAGTGTTATATCTATGGCTAGAGTGCCAGTACTGGGTCCATAAAATTAAGTGATTTAATAGTTCCTCCAACATTCACAGTGGTAAAAATTGGCTTATGGAGATAGGAAAAATCTTTGAACACAAAAGCCAGTTGAAATCTGTGTTTTTCTTAATTTTTCATTTAGTATAGCCATTTATGGTATGATTTATGCTAATAACATTTATGGAGTACCTACTTTGTTACAGGACTTGAACACATATCTAGTACAAAAGAGGCAGATTGCTAGTAGAACGTGAGGGAGGTGAGCAGCAGGTGCTGTGGGGATACAGGGCAGGGCTGTTCCATCCATTCTGGGGCTGTATGTGAGATGGGGCGTTGGGGAAGAATGCGTGGAGCTGATGAGGCATGAGCTCTCAGAAGAGCGATAGAGTTAAAGTCACCATCCCTGGGAGAACATGGCAGGGCCAGGGTAGCTGAAGTGGAGGGTGTGGGTTGGTGACCTGTGACCACTGAGGCCGGAGGGCAAGGCAAGTCCATGAAGACCCTTGACTATCATATTAGTGTTAATTTCTTGTTGAAGGAATAATGGTGACTACCAGTTATTAAGGGCTGAGTATTTATCATAGCATCTACTATATATGGGCTTGATTTATTGATTCAGACTTTCCAGGATTGGATCATACCCGTTTTGTCAGATTGGAAGAGGTTAAGTAATTTTCCCAAGGTTAGAGCCTGGTTCGAACCCAGGTTGGTTGAATTTCCAAAACTTGTATCTTTCTGCTGTTACACAGCCAGTGAACCATCAGTTTTAAAAAGATTTTCCCAGTGTAGTAGATTAATTTATCAGAGGCAAGTGCAGAGAGATGAAAAGCAGTTGGGAACCTTTTGCAGTAATTCAGATGAGCAGTCCTGTCACCTGGAGGCAAAGGTCAGCCAAAACTAAGAGCTAGTTTGGAAGCAGGCCCACCTGGATGTGGAGAGGAAGGGAGAGAGGAGGATAAACCAAAGAAAATCTTGATTGAGAAGTAGTTTGAGGTGCAGGTGTGGGCAGCTAAGAGTTTTGTGTTGAACATATTCCATTTATTCAAGTGTAGGTGCCTAGCAATTGGATGCAGAGGTAGAGAGATATGGAAGCAGAGAGATTTGGCTTGAGGTTTGTAGGTTTAGGTTGTACAGTGAAGACATGATTGAAGCAATGGGGAAGATAAGATTATTCATGGAGTACAAAGAGGAACATTCTGAGGGCAGGGTCTCAAGGACAATAGATCCTTGAGTCTGGGAAGGAGAGTGGGGGGGGATAGCTAGGTGACTTGGAGTTATGAAGTGACTAAAACACACTTTTTAAAAGAATTGTTTCTTTTCTGCTGTGCTGAGTCTTCATTGCTGCACTGGTTTTCTCTGGTTGCATCGAGGGGGGTCTGCTCTCCAGTTGCAGTGTGCAGGCTTCTCATTGTGGTGGCTTCTCTTGTTGAGGAGCAGGGGCTCTAGAGCGCACGGGCTTTAGTAGTTGCAGTGCATGGGCTCAGCAGCTGTGGCGCACTGGCTTAGGTGTTCGCGTGTGTGTTCAGTCGTGTCTGATTCTTTGTGGCCTGATGGACTATAGCCCACCAGGCTCCTCTGTCCATGGGATTTTCCAGGCAAGAATACTGGAGTTGCCATTTCCTACTCCAGGGGATCTTCCCAACCCAGGGATTGAACCTGCATCTCTTGTGTCTCCTGCATTGACAGGCAAATTCTTTACCACTGAGCCACCTAGGAAGCCCCATGTTTAATGGCCCAGGACTAAAAACACACACACTTTATATACGTCTATATAAAAAGACAAAGCATCTAGAATCCAGATCACAAGAAGAAGGATTAACCTTAGGAAAGCAGGTTTAGCTGGATTGGAAGGAAAGAAGAAACCTGAGGGTTCTGATGCTTTGGAGACAAGAACAGAAACCATATCAGTGTTGACATGATGGGGAAGAGGCGACATGGTTAGGGAGTTAAAACTATACTGGGGCTAGTTTGTGGCTGGGGCATATGTGACAACCTCAGATTTCTAGAGGTTTTGGAGTTCTGAGTGACAAGGTTCAGGGCGTGGCTATAATGATAAAGAGAGAAAGATTTCCTGGGCTTGAGGTCGGGGCCCTCTGATGGCATGTGAGAGTGACATTCCTGTTAAATGCTGAAGTTGACCCAGGAGCTGGCGTGTAAGGGGAATGTGTTTAAAGGCAACAGCAAGGGACTAGGAAAATGCTGCTGGCCTCCTGCTGCTCACCATCCTTTTACTATGTCAGGCTTTTAGAAAGCAGGCAACTTTTATTCACAAGACTACAGGGGAAGCACCACTCTTCTGGGAAATAAAAACAAGGTTGTAGGCTTTTGCATCATGGGTGGGGTGAAGCCTGTGGATATGATTCAGAATATTTTAGAATGTATAACATAAAATACAGGATTACAAAAGAAACCAATTAGACTGAAATGTGTTTTTAAAAGTATTCTTAAAACCTCTGTCATACAGTAATTTATATACTTTATTAATGCCTTAAACCTGACAGCATGTCTGTAACTACATAATTTCAAAGTAGTAATGAATGTAAGTATCTTGAGATAAGCAATAAACTGTTATAAAAGTATCTGTGACTTCTGTTGATTAGAAACCACAAGTAGTACTACTACCATTACTATAGGTGTTTGGCCTACATTCCTAATTGAAGAAACAGCTAAATTTCAGCAGTTAGTAAGAAAAAAGATGTATTTACTTCCCATCCATGTATGCACACTCCCTGAAGTGTACCCATGGACAACATCCAGATCACAAGTGGCCATTAGAGAAGAAGATGCAATGGATCATTCTGTGAGCGTTCTGAGGGTATGGCAAGTCTATTAACGGGGATATGGGTTTTGAAGAACACATGGAAGAAGAGGAGGAAGGACAGTGCGAGCTGGGGTCAAGGAAGAGAAAGCACGAATCATGGATTATCATGGAGGCACAGATGAGCTCTGTATTTTGAGAGGTGGCCAAGAATGAAAGCATGGTTTCAAAGTGAAAAACTTTTCTGTGTTGTAATGCTTTGGGGTCTCTGCAGGTGAGATCTCCTGTATTGCTGGCTTGATAGATCTGTCAGACTTGCCCTGACTCAGAAATTCAAATGAGTGGCCAGGACTAACAAGCATGCTGCCTAAGAAATCTTCTTTAGATATAGAGGGAACAGATTTAGTCGGCTCTTGAGACGCCTTGACTGGTAGAAACAGGAGCCCCTTCTGGTGCAAGGGAGACATCAATGTCTGGATGGCACCAACTGTGGCCTGAAGTATGGGCATGCTTTAGAGGGTATTAAACATCTGTGCTCATATGCTCTTTCATGGTGTTTAAGGTCTGAAAGAAACTTTACGGGTCCTGAAGTATAATGTTACATTCAGTGGAGAGTCTTTACACAAGAATCCTGGTACTTACACTCTCCTGCAACACTGTCAGATATGGACAGTTCTTTAAGCTGAGCCCACTAAAATCTGTCATTTGTAATTTCCATCTGAGAGTTGTATGAAGTAGACATTTCACAGACAGACAGACCATACTCTGGCTACTCCGTCAGTGTCTTCAGATGCCTTCTGTGTGCATTTTTCTGCCAGGTAACATTAACCAGTCACTTATGACACTGCGGACATGCATGGAGGTCCTGAGAGAGAACCAGACTTACGGCACCAACAAGGTGAGTGGCGGCCTTTGGTTGTTTGTATATTTTGTATAGCTTTGCTTTTGTGCAGTTTCTGCCTGATGTATTTGGGTCTGGATATATTTATAGATGGTTCCATATCGAGATTCAAAGTTAACCCATCTGTTCAAGAACTATTTTGACGGGGAAGGGAAAGTACGCCTGATTGTGTGTGTGAATCCAAAGGCCGAAGATTATGAAGAAAGCTTGGTAATTTTAATGCCTTTATGAAATCTGAGTTTCTGTAGACAAAACTATTTGCATGTGAAGAATAACATTTTGAACATTTTAAAAATTGATACAGAACCATTGGTTACAGAAGTGAACTAATAACCAATATATTACTGTCTCATTTACTAATTTCTTTTTTTTTTTTTTAATTAATTAATTTATTTTTTTTATCACAACCATAGTGTATCTTTTTTTTTTTTTTTTTTTTTTCACATGTATTCCCCATCCTGGTCCCCCCTCCCACCTCCCTCTCCACCCAATCCCTCTGGGTCTTCCCAGTGCACCAGGCCCGAGCACTTGTCTCATGCACCCAACCTGGGCTGGTGAACTGTTTCACCCTAGATTCATTTACTAATTTCTGAAGAAAGACTAGAAACACTTATATATAAAAACAAAATCAAACCCTATGTTGTATCTTAGCAAGTAATGAGATTTGCAGAAGTGACCCAAGAAGTTGAAGTAGCAAGACCAACAGACAAGGCCATATGCGGTTTAACACCGGGGAGGCGATACAGAAACCAGGCCCGGGCAGGTCCTGTTGGAGACGGTATGAGCTGCTGTGGTGTCATCTGCCTGCTGATGAGTCTGTCTCTGTCTCTCTCTTTTTTAAAATCTATTTCACTTAAGAAAACTGTTCACTTTCTTTCCCCTCAACAAACAAGAGCAAAAAAAGTCTGAACCAAAGTATAAATCACATTTCTTTTATTATATACTCTGACATTTTTTTCTTCTTTACAACTCATCTCATTTTTAAGGAAATATGATGAGCCCAACAAAGTACACTGTTGATTGGACTGGGGCTCTTACCAGTGTTAAACTTGTTTGAATAACACTTTCTCTCCTGTGTAACTTTTTTTTAAAAAAACAACTCCATACAGAACCGCTGGTTTCAGAAGTGGTTTTACAAAGTTTCCCACCTTTGCCATCCTGCGAACTTCTGGATGTCAATGATGAGCAGACTCTTCCCAGGCTGATTGAAGCATTAGAGAGACGACATCACCTACGACAAATGATGATTGATGAGTTTAACAAGCAGTGTAAGGGCAAACTGTTTATAGTTATTTTAATATGAGAAATTTGCAGGGAGTTTTGTGTTGGGACAGCATCTTCAAGGAAGGATTATTTTGTCTCTGAACTTAGTATCCCCCCAAAGGCATCATTTTATATCCTAAGGATATAAAGCAGAAGATCAAAGTGGATGTGAATTTATCCTCTTTAAACACTAATAGTCATGATGAAAGAGACAAGAGCTACTTCTTAGCTCCTACTAGTTATTTATATGCAAGGCATTTAACATGTATTATATCATAATAACTGTATCTTTGAGAAAATTACTTAATCCTTTATTTCTAGTTTCCCTGTCTGCAAAATGGGATTATAATTGTTCCTGCCTCAGAGGGAGGGTGTTAAATATAAGGATAAATGAGATGATTGAAAATCACGTATGACATCCTGGTACATAGGAAGTGCTTATTGAATGTATGTATTCTTATCACCATTGTGAGAAAAATGGTACTTAAATCTCCATTTTAAAATGAAGAAACATGCTCAGAAACAAATAACTTGCCCACGTCACATGACTAGTGAATGGTGCATAGGGATTTCAACTTGAATTAACTGTCCCTAAGGCTAGTGTTACTTCTGTTTCTGCATTTGTTCTCAAAAAGTTATTTATGCTATAGTGCCAAATGAAAGACCTAAGTGTTTTTTCAGTAACAAAAGTGTCTCTTGTGGATTTGAGAATCAAACTCTTGATTTCCTTTCAGATTTGTTTTCTGCTTATAGACTTTCAAAGGGGTATTTGCTAAAGAGCTTCATTTTATATAAATATCAGTTATAAAAGTTGACTTCGCCAGTTATTTTGGAATTGGAGTAAACTTGGCCTGCATGCTTTTGTTTCAGCTATTAATTTTAAGGCTTTGTTGCAAGAATTTGACAATGCTGTTTTAAATAAAGAAAACTATATTCAAGGAAAACTAAATGAAAAAGAAAAGGTGATCTCAGGACAGAAACTGGAAATAGAACGACTGGAGAAGAAAAACAAAACTTTAGAATATAAGGTTGGTTTGGGGATTATTATAATGGATGTATGTGCTGGACATTTAACACTGGTCTTTGATTTAGCTGTTCTACTATACGGACCTGCAGCTGCTGCTTCCTTGGGAGTTATCACTTGGTTATTTGCTAATCTTCATCCCATTCCCCATACAGAGGAACTGTTAATGAATGGCAATAAAAGGGTAGATAGGATACTCTTTTTGAGACAGACCTTACCAATTGATGTGAATGTTCTGGTGTTTTAGTTTTGATTATAAATTGCTTTTTGACTTACTACTGAGGATAATTTAGGGGATACATGATTCATTCTAAACAGAAGCTAATCTCAAACAATACAGTGTTCTCCATTCTGAAAGTGGCCTTTATAAAAACAAAATTTTAGGGAACAGTAATTTTCACATGAAATCCATTATAATTTCATCTTTCAGTGACGAGCTTGTTTAAAAGTCCTCATTTCTAGGAACAGAGATGGGCATTCAGATGAAATTTTAGAGGAAAAGGTTTTCTTCATGATTCTTCTTTCCATAACTGTGCTTGCATAGGCAGATTATGAGAGAGATTATTTTAAAGAGAGAGAGATTATTTTAAAGCTACTTGAAATGTTTACACATCAAATGTTGACCATAATGGTCTACATTCCCAGGTTGAGATTTTAGAGAAAACAACGACCATCTATGAGGAAGATAAGCGAAATCTGCAACAGGAGCTTGAAACCCAGAATCAAAAACTTCAGCGACAGTTTTCTGACAAACGTAGACTAGAAGCCAGGCTGCAAGGCATGGTGACAGAAACAACCATGAAGTGGGAGAAAGAATGCGTGAGTGTCATTCCTACAGTATCCATCTCGTGGGTGACTGATTTCTTAACCACAGGATTCTGAATGGCTTGCACTGGGGTCCCTGGTGGCTCAGATGGTCAAGAATCTGCCTGCAATGCGGGAGATCTGGGTTCAGTCCCTGGATCGGGAAGATTCCCTGAATCGGGAATGGCAACCCACTCCAGTATTCTTGCCTGGAGAATTTCATGGACAGAGGAGCCTGGCAGGCTGTAGTTCGTGGGGTCTCGAAGAGTCAGACACGACTGAATGAGACACACACAGCGTTTTAGTGGTGCTGGCGACAGGGGCCACCACTCAGTCCCTTTTACTTCTTTCCTCTGCCCTTACAAGTCACAACAAATTAATTAGCGTTATGAAGAACTGTCGTCTTTAGGAAATAAAACGTTCAGGTGAACCGGTGCAGTTGGTTTGGTGTAACTGAACTCTACTACTTATTGCCATTCACAAACCTTCAGGAGCGTCGAGTGGCAGCCAAACAGCTGGAGATGCAAAATAAACTCTGGGTGAAAGACGAGAAGCTGAAACAGCTGAAGGCGATCGTCACTGAGCCCAAAGCTGAAAAGCCAGAGAGACCCTCTCGGGAGCGGGATCGCGAAAAAGTTACCCAAAGATCTGTTTCTCCATCACCTGTACCTGTAAGTTGTCTCTAGTTGTGTAGTAACTTCATAGTCGTAGAGAAGATTTGTTCAGATTAGCTGATTATTTCTATGAGAATCAAATTTTTTGTTTTAAATTTATTATATTTCTCAAATTTCTATTTATACTTAAAAAATTTAGTATAAACACAAATTTAGTGTAAAATTAGTAATTCAGTACAAAAAGTTATAAAAGAATAATTATGTCTTCATGAGCTAAAACTGTAGCAAAGTAATGAATTGTTTCTCAGTTTTTCAACTCCTGCTCATTAATTTCTCTTCAATTTTTTTAGCTTTCTAGTAACTATATTGCTCAGATTTCCAACGGCCAGCAACTCATGAGTCAACAGCTACATAGGCGCTCTAACTCTTGCAGCAGCATTTCTGTAGCTTCCTGTATTTCGGAATGGGAGCAGAAAATTCCTCCGTACAACACACCTCTCAATGTCACATCTATTGCGAGGCGTAGGCAGCAGGAGCCAGGACAAAGTAAAACTTGTATCGTGTCAGACAGAAGGCGAGGGATGTACTGGAATGAAGGCAGGGAGGTGGTTCCTTCGTTCAGAAATGAGCTAGGAGTAGAAGAGGATCGCTGCAGCAGGGTTAGTGCCAGTTATCACTTTAAAGCATTGTAGCAATAGATTTTACTGTTGTGTGTTTCTATAACTCGGTTCTGAAAGTTCACCGGAATTGATGGGTGAGCTGTAATATAAGCAAGGTCTGATTTTTCTGTTAGTTCAAAAGATCAAATCACCCTGAAACTGAGGCCTAGCTCTTCATCTGAAAAAAGCCTAGCCGCATTTGGCACAGAAAGTGCCTCGTGTTCAGCGAACATGTGCTCCTCAGCTGCATGAACTGATGAGCATCCACAAAATCAGTGACTGTCTTAGAGCACATTTTCCATTCTTTTCTTTTGGCTTTTCTTCCTCAAATTGGATTTTTTACTTTTTTTTAATTTCCATTTTTAAAACAGCTTTCCTGGACTTTTATTTTAAACAATAGATATGTAAATATTTTTTTCCTTCAGCCTTTGACGGTAAGTCATAGGCTTTGTGTCTTACATACATAACCACAATCTTCATCACACCTGAGAAAGTCAGTGGTGTCCCAGGAATGGCTGTTCATTTTTCAAACCTTTGTCCTGTCAAGGTGAATACATTATATGTGGTTACTATCTCTTTAATCTTTTTAATATAAAGTAGTCCATCCTCCCCTTTTTTTTAATTTTCATGATACTATTTTTTGAGGAGCCCAGGCCAGTTGTTTTATAACTGCTGAAGGAAGGTTTACATGTCCAATAAATCGCTGTTAATCTCAAGGGCTTTGTCTCAACTTAGAAGGGCTCTGCCTCATTCAAGGTTGTTTAAACAAATTCATGTTTATATTTTCTTCTTAAAGATTAAGGTAAAATTTTCCTTTGAATCCGAGTGAGTTGACAAAGTTAATATTGTGAATCTACATTTAGTAAAATTTTAATATATCTAAGAATTTTTCTTCTAAATAATTTAATCTTATAGTAAACATTTGCTTTAGATTTTCTTATTATATAATTTAGGGTATAGAAAATATTTCATTTAGGTGGCCTGCATTCCTGATTATTAAGGGATGATGATGAATTACAAGGTTAAAGGCAACAGATAAGTCTAAAGTCGCTTAAGCTCTTTACTTTGCAGATTTTGCTTTAAACCTTTTTGGGGAGCAAATTATATGGTGATTGGTCTTTCTGATCAACTCTAATGAATCCTCCTTATTTCATGCAAATTTATAGACTGAAAAATATTCAAGGCCTACTTATGCCTGGTCAACATTAACATAGTATCTAATTTGGCTAAGAGATATTTAAGAGAATTTACTAGAGATCCTTTAACTTCTTCATTTGAAATCAAAATCTTTTTAGAAGTGCAGCAGAATACACATCTAGGTTTGCTGGTCAAAAATTATGTCAGGTGGACTCAATTTATGTACTTCAGTGAGGAAGAAAACTTAAATGTTTATTTCATAAATGACAGTAGAGTGTAAGTAAGGACAGTTATCTTCCAAAGTTTGTTTCACAATGTCTATTGCTAAATGTGTTTGAGAAAACTATCACCTTTGCTAAATGGTAGGTCATGAGAACCTCTTTCTTCCTCGTTCAGCATTAAGCCGTTTTAAGAATGGGACATTTCCTGCTTGTTGTGAGGCTTGGGTATCCTGAGTGGCAAACGCTGTTGCCCATGTTTTGGTGTCATGATTTTGTCACTGGTGCATTTGTTTCTTATAATTGTACAGGGGAAATGCCTCAGTTCTCCAGATACACATTTTAAATTAGGTGTCCACACTTGACCCATTTTGAAGGATTTGGCCTGTGACAGACCGTTTCAGTTGCTTTCAGTTTTGCAAACAAAAACTTTGCAAAGTTATAAAGAAACTATTAACTATGTTCTGTCTGTGATCCCCCCGCCGCACCCCCCCCCCCTTAGGTTGAATATGCTAAACTTAACTCTCCTAAATTTATATAACATTTTACTGAAAGTGTCTAGTTTTTTATTGCATGATAGAGACTGATTTGATAGTGTATTCTTTATCTGGTTCTTAGAACCTTTATGAGATGTTTGTGAATTTTTCATAAAGATATGTTTTGAGATTTTTTAAAGTATGCAGAAGTACTTTATTTACATTCTTCTAATCTTTTTATACACAAGATTCTTAAAATACCTTATTTTTTTAGCATGTATGTACTATACAGCTCCATCAGCTTTTGCTGGGGGGAGAGGTATTTTTTTTTAATAGGAGTATTTTCACTTTTGTTTACAGGCCTATGATATGTTTAGGACTTTTATTGATCTTTTTGAAGCTTTTAACATAGTTGTGGACCTAAGAGATTACTTCACAATAGCAGGAACAAATACTGGTTTTTGATCAAGAATGCAAAAATGAATTATTTGTCCTGAACACCACCTATGCAGGAAAGACTAGCAGCCTTACCAGAACTTTCCCTTCCACTCTTTGTTGAAAGGGAAGATCTCTAGTAGAATAGATAATACATACATAAACTGGAGTTTAAAGATGTTTGTTGGTTTTGTGTTTACATACAAAGAGAACATTTAAATTGCTTGAGTAACAGAGCTTTTGAAAAGGTTCACGCATTTGTTTTCATACCGTCACCAACTAAAGTAGCCAAAACTGCTGCACTTCTAACTACCCTCAGATTAATTCTGGGTTATGCTTGTCTCTTGATTCCTCTCTCAATCCGATCAGAACGCACCACCAATTCGTCTGCGACACAGACGCTCACGCTCTGCGGGAGACAGATGGGTAGACCATAAGCCTGCCACTAACCTGCAAACTGAGACAGTCATGCAGCCACATGTGCCCCGCGCCATCACTGTGTCTGTTGCGAATGAAAAGGCGCTAGCTAAGTGTGAAAAGTACATGCTGACACACCAGGAGCTAGCCTCCGATGGGGAGGTTGAGACTAAGCTAATTAAGGTAACTTACACACGAGAAGGAAACATCCAAAACACAAAAACCATTTACTCTTCTGTGCCTTTGATGACACAGAGACAGTGTCAACTAGAAGATAAATGGGTATTTGGTAAAACCTTTTTGTTAGAAAACTCAAGTTACTCCTTGGGTTAAAAATCTGTTAAATTGGAACTAAATCTGTTAGAGGAACTCCAGATATATACTCTTAATTAATAGGCATTTTGTTTTAAATCAAACAAAGAACTCCTGCCGTTGCTTAAGAGTACTGTCATTCGAGGGAATTCCTTGGCAGTCCAGTGGTTAGGACTCTGTGCTGTCACTGCCAAGGACCCAGGTTCAATTCCTGGTCTGGGAACTAAGATCTCAAAAGCTGTACCTAATGGCCAAAAAAATAAAAGACTACTGTCACTTGTGTATGAGAGAAGGGGAACATCCAAAGAGGAAAGTATATTGCCTTAGAACATTTAGAAATTTGCTAGATTGCTTGATCTTTAGTGTAGTTTTTAAATTACTGGTTGAATAAAAAGGAATGTTATTTTCTGCAAATAAGAATGCTGTTAATTACACTGCATTAGACTTCTTTTGTTTAGTGAGACATATGTACACAAATCTTTAAAGTATTTTAAGGTACAGACCCAGCAGTCCAAGTACCATCTGGTTTTGTGGATGGGAGTTTTCATAAAAGTCTTAAAATCAGTTTGAAATATATATGTATGTTTATCATTTGGATGTATAAAAGTGTAATGGTGATCTTTTCTCCTGGCTGTAGGGTGATGTTTATAAAACAAGGGGTGGAGGACAGTCCGTCCAGTTTACTGAAATAGAGACGTTAAAACAAGAATCACCAACTAGGTGAGTGATCATCAAATTGCTTTCTTTAGAGGGCTGTAATTTTCTTAGTTGCTCATTCTTGAGGAACAGACTAGCCTGTAAAAACATGTCATTAATTCTATGAAGGAGTATATATGGTATTTCTCTATTTCTAATATTCTTCCTGTTCTTAGATGTAAAAAGTAACTGTTGCGTTGTTCCCTTTTTCTGTAGTCGAAAACGAAGATCGTCTACAGTAGTACCTGCCCAACCAGATGGAACAGAGTCTGAATGGACGGATGTAGAAACAAGGGTAGGAGTTAAATATTTGTAGGGGTGTCATATATTAAGCCCCACAGCTATAGCTCTTCATGCTCTTTGAAACAAACAGCTAAAGTCTGATCTCACGTGGCCAGTGCAGCCTGGAGCCAAATCAGAGGAGGTATTTGTATTTCTACTCTGGTCTTACTGATGGAGCTCTTCAGTTTGAAGCGCCTGTTTTTAGTGTAGTGGGACTGTGCCCAAGAATCAAGGAAGAGAGCATCACCCTAGAAGAACAAGAATGTCCATCAAGCTGGTCTGTCCTCTCAGGAGCAGAACTGTTATTCCGGGGACAGATTGGAATAAAGAGTGTGGGACGGTGGGGGCCAGGCTCCAGCCGTTACCACTAACTTTCTCAAGAAGTCTTTGATAGAAAATGAGATTACCTGGCTGGTCTCTAAAGACCCCCGTACCTCACAGCTCTCCTCTCTGTGGTTTTCTCCCCAGTGCTCCGTGGCTGTAGAGATGAGAGCAGGCTCTCAGCTGGGGCCTGGGTACCAGCATCACGCACAACCCAAGTGAGTACTGACCAAGCGTGGCCTTTCTCTGTCTTCCCTCCCCACCCCCTTCTCCCTACATCCACCTTTTTTTTTTTTTTAAGAGGATCTCTGTGGTTTCTCTTTACCCTCTGGAATATCCTGGCCTTACTGGCAGACTACAGTAGGCAGTAACAGTGCTGAGACCCCTGGGGGGTTGGATAAGAGCTATTAGAGCTGTAAGAACACTCACTCTTGTTCCTAATTTGCCAAGTGCTCATAAAGCTTTCAGAGGCCTAAGGGAGATCACCTATAAGGAGGGGAGGCTAGTGTCAGGGGTGACAGCTCCTCACATAATTCATTCTTTCCTAATCCCTCTTGTTATAGCAAGAAGTGTTCATTAAAATAAAACGGAATGGTGAAATTTGTGGTAGGGAAAGCAATCACATATTAAAGACACACCGAAGAGTCTGGCCCATTCTTTTATAATTTTAAGCCCCCTTTTTTCAAATATCTAACTATATATAAATGGTCCATGTGTCCATTTCTGACATAGGTATGTACTCCTTAGGCAATCTGGAAAATCAGTGTGACAAAATAAAGATGGGAAGTCTAATTAAATACTACATAAGCATATTTTATTTGCTTTCTTAGAAGGACTTTAACTTTTCCCATGATAAAACAGGAATTCTCGCAAAGCCCTCCTAGAGATTCATTGCAAAATTCAACACTAAATGCTGGTTTTCATTTTAGGCGCAAGAAGCCATGAATTGACAGTTTCAATAACAAAAGAACATTTTCATCATTTGTGTTGGTGATTTCTCCAAAGCAGTGCCTTCTGAAAACTTGTAAAACTCCAGCTTTGTTGAAAATCACAGACCTCATATGTCATCACACACTGGCCTCCATCAGGGATTCTCCCCTGTGGCTCCAAAGATATCTAGGATTCTACAAACTTTTTATATTATACACCTTGCCATATTTAATATTAATAGAGAAAGACCCCTCTTTCTCGTTGCTGTATGAACTTTTTTATATTGCTGTTTTTTTTGTATATTTCTTGTATACTTATAAACTAATTCATGCATGTGTCTGTCTTGGATGATAAAGGAAAAATATATCTAGATCACGCTTTGCTTTTTATGGTGACTTTTCCACCTGCTGTCTGAATATTTCTTAAGGATTTATAGACAAAACAAATGCTGCTACTGATTAGCTGCAAGGATGCACTTTAGACATATATTGGACAATTCAGCCTGAGACGTCAGAGACTCGCCGATACTAAAACCAGTTTAGGAAGGTGTTTGGAGTTTTGTATGTATATACTTTCTGACATTTAGATATGTCAAAAGAAATGAAATAAAAGCACTAAGAAATACAAGGCTATGTGATGGTAATTTAACACATACTCCCAGAACCTAGCATCATGCTTTTCATTTAGCTGGCAATCATTTATGGGAGGAATTAAACAAAAGCACTAGAAACTGCTGTCACCATGCTGAGGATACTTGTTCCAGCATGCCAAGAAACAGGTTTGAAAGGGACTATTTACTCTGCTGAAAACCAGGAATACCCTCCCAGCCCACACAACCCGCTGGTGTACTGCAGTCCACAGGCCATCCTTCGTACATAAACTGTGTTTGACCTGGAATCCTCCTTTTACTTCATTCAACTAACTTAGGGTCTCAAGAACAGCACCCAATCTCCAGGTATGGAAATTTTAAATTGCTGGTATTATACCTAACTGACATGTGCAGATAAAAGTAGAGGAGCAGGTGACGGCACGATGGCAGTGTGAGCTGCTCCTTTTCTTCTTTTAGTTACAGTAACTGGCTGTTTATGGGCTTCCCTGGCGGCTCAGACAGTAGGCTGCCTGCAATGCAGGAGCCCTGGGTCCGATCGCTGAGTCAGTCATAACTGAACAAAAGTTTCTCTGTACACTACACCGCAACATGCAAAAGACTTCTACCGAAAAGAACGCAGGTGGGGAGACCTTTGCAGGACCGCGGTCCCCAGAGTTGTGAGCCTGCCTCACCCCACCTGCTGGGGAGGGGCCGGGGAGCGCGTCTGTGGGGAGCCAGGCACACGGTGGGGGGACAGGAACCAGTTTGGAGGCCGAAGAGGCTTCCTCTGCCAGTGACCACGGCCGCCTCCCTGGAGGTCTTAAGTGGCTGCCTGGCTGGGCACAGCGGGAGGAACCCGTTTCTCTGCAGCAGCACTAATTCCTCAGGAGCCACTAGTGGGAGTGGGGTGGGGAGACGAGAACAAAGGGCACCGAAGGATCTCACTCCCTGCTGTCTGCCTCGGGCTTCAGCTGGAGGGCTGTGCACGGCCCTCTGCGGTGCTTGCCGCGGTGGAGGGTCCCCGCCTGCTGTGGACAGCCACAGGTGCTAAGCCCACACGTGCCCCACCCTGCCGCCAGCTTTTTCTAGCCTGACTTTTTAAACAGGCTCTCCCCAGCATGGCCCTAGGACCAGCTCAGACAGAAAAACCAAAAATTGAGCTATGCCGCCACCTTGTGGAGAACAAAAGAAAGGCTTCTAACGGTCAGTGTTGAACTGGAACACCTAACAACTAGTAAGAAAGGTGTGCTACTTCAAACTCGGTGGCAGAGGCACATTTTACCAAACTGAAAAATCACGGTGACATAGTACCCCAAAGAGAAAAACTAATAATTCTTCAGCAACTGAATCCACAGGCACAGAATACTGTGATCTGATAAAAATTAGAAACAGCTGTGATGAAGGTACAAGGACACTTAGGCAGTCATTTACCAAATATAGATGTTATTTACCAAATATACTGAATTTTCAAAATGAACCAAATTCTTCAGCTTAAGAATTCAATGAATGAGATCAAGAATATGTAGCAAGCTTAGGGAATCAGGCAGATGAAATCTGGGAAACAATTAGCAACTTGGTTCTTAAAAAGTGAAGAAAACCTAAGAGAATTCACATAAGTGATGAGATGAGAAAAACAAATGTGAGTGAGAATAACGGTCTATCCAAAGGAGCAGAGAGGGAGAGGGGAGCAGCAGAGTGTGTATTTAAAGAAACAGCCGAGACTTTGCCAAGCCAGGGAGGAAACGACCTACAAGCCCAATAGGACACCCTATTATCTCAATGCCAAGAGACCTCCATTACATCAAAAGTCATTTAAAAAAGTAATAAAGGCAACAGTGGGGAGAAAAAGTAACTTACAAATGAATACTTGCAAGGCTATCAGTGGATTTCCCAGCAGAAATCCTACAGGCCAGGACAAAGTGGAATGACATATTCAAACTGTGGAAGATAAATATGGCCGGCAAAAAATAGTTTATCCAGCAAAGCTGACCTTCAGTTATGAAGGAGAAATAAAAGCTTTCCCAGACACACAAAACCTGCCTTACAGGAAATGCTAAAAGGAGTTCTTAAGTTGAAATAAAATGATGCTAACTAGTGACACAGAAACAAATGAAAGTACACATAAAAAGAGGCAAACTGTGACATCAAAAGTATAAAAGGGGAGGTGTAAAAAGGGTTGAACCATTACAGGAGAATGAAAACAAGATGCTATCAACATGAAAAGGACTATTTTACTTATGATATGTATTATGAAAGCTACACCGTAAGAGGTGAGTGAAAAACCTGGCTTGAAACTCAACATACAAAAAACTAAGATCATGGCATCTGGTCCCATCACTTTATGGCAAATAGAAGGGGAAAAGTGGAAGCAGTAACAGATTTTTATCTTCTTGGGCTCCAAAACCATTGCAGATGGTGACTGTAGCCATGAAATTAAGAGATGCCTGTTCCTTGGAAGAAAAGTTATGACAAACCTAGACAGCATATTAAAAAGAGACATCACTTTGCCAACAAAGGTCCTCATAGTCAAAGCTATGGTTTTTCCAGTAGTCATATGTGGATGTGAGAGTTGGACCATAAAGAAGGCTGAGCGCCGAAGAACTGATGCTTTCAAACTTGGAGAAGACTTGAGAGTTCCTTAGACAGCAAGGATATCAAAATAGTCAATTCTAAAAGATATCACCCTGAATATTCATTGGAAAGACATGCTGAAGCTGAAGCTCCAATACTTTGGCCACCTGATGTGAAGCGCTGACTCTGGAAAAGACCCTGATGCTGGGAAAGACTGAAGTTAAAAGGGGAAGGGGGTGGCAAAGGATGAGATGGTTAGACAACATCACTGGACACAATGGACGTGAGTTTGAGCAAACTCCAGGAGATGGTTGAGGACAGAGGCGGCTGGTGTGCTGCAACCCATGGGGTCACAAAGAGTTGGGACACAACTTGGTGACTCAACAACTACCAACACCACAAAGCAAAAAAACAGAGGTGAGAAACAAAGAAAAAATGAGGAGTAGACTGAGCAAGCCACTAAGGAAAACTACCACTTTACAAAGGTAGAAACAGGAAAAAGATAAAAAAAAACAAGGCAAGTGACAAGATAGCAATAGTGCATCCTTATCAATAGTCACTCCAAATGCATTGTTACTTCTAGGTAGAAGCACAAAAAAAAATTATAGAAATGAACCCTTTTACAAAACAGACTCACAGACTAGAAAACATTTATGGTTACCAAAGGGGGGGGATAAATCAGGAGTTTGGGACTGACATACACACTTCTATATTTAAAATAGATAACCAACAAAGACCTACTGTGTATAGCACAAGGAAATCTGGTCAATACTCTGATAATCTTAATGGGAAAATAATCTGAAAAACAATAGATACATGTATATGCAGAACTGAACCATTTTGCAGGACACCTGAAACTAGCATGACATTCTTAAACAACTACACTCCAATATAAAACCTAAATTTTAAACGGGACTGAACCAGGAAGAAATAGATAATATGAGCAGGCCAATAATAACCTCACAGAGAAAACCAGAGGACAAGATGGCTACACTGAAGAATTCTACCAAAGACTCATCATCATCAACCCTTCTCAAACTCTTAGACCAGCATTAACCCGAAACCAAAGCCAGACAAGGACACAAGAAATGAAAATGACAGATCAGTATCCCTGATGAATATAGGAGTAGAAAATCTCAATGAAGTATCAGCAAACTGCATTCAAGAACCCTTAAGAATTGTATACCATGACCAAGTGGCATTTATGCCTCATGTAAGAATGGTTCAACATACATAAATCAATAAATTTAATACACATTAATAAAAGATAAAAATCACATGATCATCTCAATAGATGCAGAAAAGCTGTTTGACAGAAGACAACATCCTTTTGTGATAAAAAAAACCTTAGCAGACTGGATGCAGAAGGAACATACCTAAACATAATGAATATCGTGAATAACAAACAGTTAAGATACTTTCACTGGAGAAAGAAAGCTTTTCTTCTAAGATCAGGAATAAGAGAAGGATGTCTACTCTCATTATTCTTATTCAATATAGTACTGGAAGCCCTAGCTAGAATAATTAGTCAAGACAAAGAAATCTATCTGAATACAATGAAAATACTACCTTGAAAAGATACCTAACCCACATGTTCATTGCAGCATTATTTACAAGAGCAAGACAAGAGTCCACCAACCAATGAATGGACAAAGAAAACATGTTATATATAATCACGATGAAATGCTATTCAACTATTAACAAGGAATAAAATCCTGCCATTTGAGACAACATGGATAAACCTTGAGCACATTTTGTTAAGTGAGGTAAGTTAGACACGTTCTGTCTGATGTAACTTATATACCCATCTGAATGCAGTGTTCCAAAGAATAGCAAGGAAAAATAAGAAAGCCTT